AGGGCAATTGAAGGAACTGAGAAACCAGGGTATCAATATCATCTCTAGACACTCAAAAGAGAATGAGTGAGAGAGACCCAACTACAAGAGTATCAGATCTTAGATCATGAACTCAGAACTATGCTGGCAAGGGAAAGACAATGGCTAGAAACAACTAGGAGCAAGGGAAACAGCTGTCTCCTCCCAGATGATCCAGGGAAGTGAGTACAGATGAAGAAAAACCACAGGTAGCAGTGTGCTTAGGTGAGGCTGATGGGGATTCTGCCCATAACTGATTTCAGTGTGTCAAAGCAAAGGGTAGGAAATTGGGAATGATAAGGTCATCATTGAAGAATACCATTTTCTGTACATGCTGTGGAGTTCACATCTCTATTTTATACCATGATAACATTCACACAACTGCAAACTGAGCAGCAAGTCCTCTAGAAAGCTGTACCCATTTTCATCAATCTATTAGGTGCTGCTTTTCAGGGCATGCTTTAGCCAAAGCTTTATGAGACTATAGTCTCTCATTTATTTGTCTCTCAGTCTAGACTTTGAGCATCTCCACATCTCTGTTATCTGTTTATATTCATGAGCACTTAAGCTTTATCACTTCTTATGTTCACTTCTGTATGCCTGTTTGTAACATGTTGAGTACATGTTTGAATAGATGGCTGAAGGGATGGATAGAAGGATGACTGTTTAGTGCCCAGGATCATGCCTGCATCATAATAAGCACATAAAGTTGTATTTTTAATTTATTAATGACTTTTCACTGAAAAGCAGCCTGACTGTTACTAATTGAGGACTCATAAGAAAAGAATAGCCTTTGCTCCAAGGAATTTACAGCCTAATGGAAAAATTCCAGGTCGTATGGACTTTATCAAGGGGAGAAAACAAAGCATAAGTACAGTTGCCTAGAACTGTCACAGTGTTTATGTTATTTATACTCGTGGCACAAGTACAATTTAGGCATACCTCATTTTATTGTGGTTGGGTTTACTGGGCTTTCCAAACAATTGCTTTCTTTCTCCCGACAAAGTAAAGTTCTGTGGCAACTTCATGGAGAAGTCTATTTACTGGTCCTCTTTCCAACACCGTGTGATCACTTCAGGCATCTATGCCACATCTTAGTAATTCTCACAGAATTTCCAAGTTTCTCATTATGTCTATTACAGTAATTTGGGATCACTAACCATTGGTGTTACTACTGCATTTGATTGCCATAAGTCATGCCCATCTAAGATGGCAGTTCTAACCCTTTAGCATTATCTGTGTCCTGACTAGTTCATCTACCCATGTCTCCCTAGAGCCCCTGAAACACAGTAATTAAATTAAACCCTTAAGCTCACATATGGAAGTCTCTTAAGTTCCTACATGAAAGAAGAATATCCTCTCTCTCACTTTAAACCAAATGCTAGAAAGGTTGAGGTGGAAAAGCTAAGTCCATTCTACCAGTAAGTCAGGTTGTAAAGACAGAGGAAACCTTTTAGATATATTGATTTTTTTAAAAATTTATTGTTAAAACGTGCAAATAAAAAAATCACACTGGAAAAGAACTTGCTGAAGGTGATTAACATGAATGATAATTAAAAAATTAAAATAGCCTTGTTGTTAATATAGAGAAAGGTATTGGTCTGAATAGAAATCAAAACAGCAGCAATATTTCCTTTAGCCAAAGCCTAATCAAGAACAAGGTCTTAATTATCTTCAGTTCTATGAAAATTAAGAAAGGTGAAGACCCCACAGAAGGCAAATTTGATGCTAGCAGAAGTTGCTTCATTCATTCGGTTCAGAGAATAAAAATGTCTTCATAACATACAAGGGCATAGTGACCCACTAAGTGTTGATTCAGAAGATGCAGCAAGTTAGCCCTGAGGTCTAGAAAAGATAAGTGATGAAAGCAGCTACTCTACCAACAGTCTTTCAACGCAGATGGAACAGCTTTCTACTGGAAGATGCCATGTCAGGCTTTTATAGCCAGAAAGATGTCAATGCCATTGTCAAAGCTTCAGAAGCCAGACTGACTGTCTTGCTAGGGCTTAATGAAGCTGGAGGTTTTACATTGAAGCCAATGCCAATTTGCTCTTCTGAAAACCTTAGGGCCCTAGAGATTGATACTAAGTCTATTCTGCTTGTACTGTATAAATAGAATAAAGCACAGATGGTATCATATGTTACAACATTGTTTGCAGGCAATTTTAAGCCCATTATTGAGACATACTAGCCAGTATTAACAAAAAAAATAATTCAGAGTACTTCTGCTAATTGACTTTAGCACCACGTGTCACTCAAGAGCTCCAAATGAGATGGCTAATGAGCTTAATGATTTTGTTTGCTGACATAAAATCCATTCTGAAGCCCATAGGTCAAGTTACAATTTTTACTTTCAAGTCTTATTAGTGAATAAATATGTATATCTCTACATAAAGTGGCATACACCTGTAATCCCAGAACTCAAGACATAGTCAGGAAGATCACAAATTCAAAGTCATCCTGGGCTATTTAGTGAGTCTGAGATGAAGATGGAATATGCAAGGCCCTGTCTCAGAAAATGAAGTGCAGAGAAGAAAGAGATGAGAAAATGGAAGAAGAGAGACAGAAAAAAGAGTAGAGGGAGGGAATGAGGGACCTGGATACCAAAGGGGGGGGTACAACATCTTACACACCAGTCCTTGTGGATCTTGGCAAAATAAACTGAAAAGCTCCAAAAGAATTCAACATTCTAAATGCCACTAAGAACATTTGTGATCCATGGGCAGAGGTCAAAATGTCAATGTCAAGAAAATTTGAGCCAGCCATGGTAGCACACACCTGCAATCCCAGTGCTTGGGAAATGGAGGCAGGAGATCAAGAATTCAAAGTTAATTTTCTTTACATGAGGTTGAGGCTAAGCTGGCCAGTCCCAAAGGGGAGGAAGAGGAGATTTGCAAGAAGTGGATTCCAAAGAAAGTATGGATGGCTTGAGGTAATTCAAGATTCAGTGGAGGTAATTGCAGATGTGACAGGAATAGCAAGAGGGCTGGAGTTAGAATTGGAACCTGCCAGGTGGTGGCGGCACATGCCTTTAGTCCCAGCAGAGGCAAGCAGATCTCTGTGAGTTTGAGACCAGCTTGGTTTACTTACACAGCAAATTCCAGAACAGACTCCAAGGCCACGAAGAAACCCTGAAACCCCACCCCCCCTAAAAAAGAATTGGCACCTGAACATGTGACTGAATTGCTTTTAATCTCATGAAAAACACTTAAACAGAGAAGTATGTTTAATGTTCAGTTGCTGAACAAAGAAAGTAGATTCTTAGGATAGAACCCGCTCCAAGAGAGGATGCAGCAAACATCACTGAAAGAAGAAAGCACTGAGTATTACACAAACTTAGTTGTTAAAGCAGCAACAGGATTTGGGAAAACTGCCCCTGATTGTCACTAATATGAATAAAATACTGTCATACAGCATCACGTGCAGATCAAATCTTTCATGAGAATAGTAGTTAATCAATTCCTCATATTAATTGCTGGCTTACTTCAAGAAATTCAATAAATGGGGCATGGAGCTAAACTAAATAATTCACAAAAGATGAAATAAAAATGGCTGACAAACATTTTTAAATGTTCACCATCCTTAGCCACCATGGAAATGCAAATTATTGTGCTGAAGACCACAATTCACAATAATTCCAGGGAGTGGTGTTGAAAATGCAGGAATCAAAATTATACCTAAAAGGGATCCTGATTTGGTTTGTCTGAGGTTAATCTCTGGAGCAGGCCTTTTTGGTTTTTTTTGTTTTTGTTTTTGTTTTTGTTTTATTAGTTCTAGTTAGGGAAGAAGCTTATTTCAAGTCCCTTCTCCCTCTCCCTCCCCTCAGCCCCAAACTCCTTCCTCCCCCCC